GGAAACCCCCTCTGTCAGTGGGATGGAATCATAAGATGTTAGTACCATCTATTTTATAGCTCGCGTCTCAATGTTGTCTCAAAGTTGACAAACCTGCAGGCGATTAGCCTAATGTTATGTGATTAGTATTAAACTTCCCACTTTTTTATGAGAAAACTTTCCAAGCAAGCAAGATATTAAGTGCTCCTGATATTAAGTGAATACCGCCTATGGGCAACAACAACCGAGGCCTTGCAGATGCGTTGACAATGTTTTAAAAAAAAGCAGGCCCCGGATTCATTCTATACTTCCACTTCACGCCGGCCGATCTCCGGAAGAAGTCCAGTGTTATTTCAATAATCGTTTATTACAAATGTTAAAATAGATAATCATTTTTGTAATGGCAATATCTAATGTTATTTAAATACTGTTAGGCTCCGAAGGTGGACGTGTTTCAAATTCTCACGGGAGGACTTTAATTGAATAGAGACCGATTCATGCGAAGCTTTTTAGTTTTTTTTTAGCCCACTCTATTATAATGTGTTGCAAATGTCGATGGGCAGCGGTTATCACTCAACATCAGGTAACCGCCAGCTCGCTTGCCACCTCTAACATGGCAAAAAGAAGAGCATGGAAACCCCTACACGTGTATCAGACCCAATGAAATATATGCTATTGTACTGCTATCATTAGACCTGTCTAGTTACCTGTTTAATTTAGATCTGGCAAAGTCGTTTTTGAAATACTTCAGTACACTGTTAAGAGAGTCAGTCACTCAGTTAAGAGAGACGTTTACGCGAGGCCAATTATTTAGAAAACATGCAAACAAAGGTTTTACCTCATGGTAACTGCTAACCGTTACGTATCCGCGAAATTGATAACGCAGCAGGCACAATGCAAAGTATTCTGTGGGAGTGCTACCTCACACACCAAACAATACGCAAACTATAAATTTGCCCCACTGCTGGACAATTGCCACTTATTTGCGAACATCGCGTAAAGAAACTCGACCCGATCCCGGGCTATGCAACCAGTCATTACGTTACGGTAGTAAAACAGACGTAAAAATGTAGAATTCGTTACGCGCTTCAGAGAGAAAGTTCACTTCGGTTGCTGTATCCACCGAAAAATACGCATATAATATTTATCACACCTTACGCCGGTCTTCACATACCAGGGCAAGTCTCCTCATTCATGTGGCAGATGCTGCTGCGATGCTGTACCTCTAGTAATGGACCAATTGACATGATAATGGCTACATGATTTCATAAACGAGAAGAACTGTAGTATGTACTCCTGCTGGTTTACTGACTCTTATTTACTAATCCCTCCCAAGGAAACTTTAACTTAAGCGCATGCAGTCATTATGTTACAGCGCTTATTGGGGTATTTCCGTTATGCGCTCCAAGATGGGTTAGGTGACTTCGGTTGCGATCGAAAATGACCTTAACGTGAATGTGTGAACCCAGAGCCACCTAAAATGCCAAACAATAGGCAGGAGGAGGCAGGCCTCGTTGCGAGGCGGTGTGCCATTCGGACGTCAGCGATCCTACAGAGCTAGGCAGAAGAGCGTGAGCCTAATTCAAAGCGCAGCCAAAGTTGAACTCTCTTTTCCTGTTTCCATCCCCGAACGGCACCCATCAGCGACAAAGCGCTTTTGACTGCCTCCGCTCACCGGCTGCAATATTTCGCGGCGTTTAATCGGCCGCCGAGCCCTGGGCGTCTGTTGCGCCACTACTGAGACTAGCGTTGCGTCGCGTACACACGTTCGTACAATCAGACCAACCGGCTCAATACTATATGCGCCATTATGCGCCCTATTCATTACCATGAAAGGGAACAGAGTCGCGTCGCGCTACGCCGTCGGATTTAATATATCCGCGCCGCGGGCTGTGCACTCGGCTTTCACGTCTCTCCAACCGGCATTATGCCTCTAATGTCACTTAATTTGCCGTCTAGGGCCTCCTCAGGTGAATGCAGCCTGCGAGAGCTGGTTTAATATAAAAATTCGCTCGTGTTTTTTTTTTCTCTCTCCCCCGTCACGTGAACAACGTTATACTGTTGCCCCTTTAGAGAGTAAACGCGTAGAAGTAATGGGATTACGAGATCGGCAGTAGTGATTTTTCTAGTGATGGGAGAGGGGAGGGCGTTAGTTGAGGAACAAATATATTGATAATTGATTAGCATCGAGACGGACTGTAGGCCACATCTAGGGGTTCCACAAATTCCCGATAGTGCCTGGCACGCACGACCTCTTTATCAAACCGTTACTACTAAGGACGGCCGAGGAAAGAGATCTTCTTGTCTTGCCTGACAAGCGGTAACTCTTGTGGTGCTGCGATTGCCATATCAATATCATTTGAGCCGATTGATCTTTTTGCACCTAAGATGACGAATATCATATAACCTCTAGCATATAGGCTTCAACATCGTGGAACCACCAATAATTCGGCAATAATTATATGGATGCAGAGTTAAAAAAATTGAGTTTGGGCAAAAAACCGCTAATGTAGGCATGTGCCTGAGATATTAGTTATTCGGATTCCAGTGAGTGAAATATTATCGATGAAGACTAACGAGCCAACGAATTTCTTCGAGCCCAAAAGATAAAAGAGATGTGATTTATTCAAAAATACGTGATCAAAGTTTAACCTGGCAACGTTCACGGTTTAATATTATGACGGCATGAAGACTGATACTTAAGATGGCCGATGAAGTACTTCTGATGCATCGTTTAGTCCGTATTCGTCCATACGGAGTGTCCACACTAATCGTTAGTCATCCGATAAGCTGATCTAATAGAATTTGTCATCAGTTAAGGTTTTCGTGCATGGGATTTGCATTTGTAACGGCCCTCCGCGGCCGCAGGGAATCCCAATGTGGGCCGGCGAGCGCTAAGTGTGTGCTGATTAGGCATTTTGAATGCACCGCACCGTACGGTGGTCGATTGCGCTCATTCATTTTACACGAGCACCTAAGGTTGAGGTGTGTGAATTTTTACAAGACACCACGCGAGGGTACCGCGTTGTAAGACTGATAACTATTGCTGTGGATAACCATAGTTATCGGTGGCAGCGGTAGACATTAGGTAATTTTTGCTTTAAAAGAAGATACATCATCCCATCGCCCTCTACCTAGATGGGGTCGGCGAACGTGGGAATTATGTTGTAAGTGGTTTCGACTAAGATTTTTAGTATCGGCCGCCTGCATGACGTCTACCTCCTAGGACACAAACACTCAGATCCGGAACCATTAGCTGTGGGTCACAAAAATACCTGTCCCGTGTGGGAATCGAACCCACATAACTGGCGCCGCAGCCAATGACTTAGCAACTACGTCCCCGAGTCATTCTTATGAACATGTACACATGAACACCTTCTCTCATAAAAATTTTGATTTATCCGGTGTCCGTTGGTCTGGTGGTTTTTATATTAAATATTTAAAGTTCATATTTATAATTTGGGTAATATTCTTCTTTGTTTGTTTAGGTCTTTTATTGTTCCTGCACCCACCGAACAATACTCAAACTTTGAAAATTGTCCCACCCAGCTGCTTCGTTTCAATTCAGCACAACTCTGCAACCTAAATTTTAACTTTAAGTGCTGATAAACCACCTTCTCGGTGGTGATGGAAAACATTTTGCAAAACATCAACCACTGCAAAACAGCAATCTCGCACTGGGGTCAACTATGCCCGTATCAATTTTAAAGGAGGCCTTTGTCCAGCAATTGGGCATTTAATGTAATGACTGTTACTTAACCTAATTCACCATTTTGATTATAGAAAATGTTACGTCTGAGTTTTAGCCAAATGAATAATAATTTATCCGTCTGAGCCCCGCAAATGATATCACAGAAGAATTATCAGCTTCCATCACTCTTGCTTTCATTCTTCCATATCTTCGGCAATAAAACGAAATCCAGAGAATCACATCCATCCATCACTACATTTTACCTCTCTGCTTCAGCATAGGTTATTCCGTATAAATAAAAGCCTTTTATTTTTCTCGGTTTGCATGCGAAATGAATCGGGAAAATGTCTTTTAAATAGAATTGTCTTTAATGGGAAGCGCAGCTGTCTTTTAAAGATTGGGACATTACCAGAAAAAAAAAAATTAAAGAGGAATGTTTTATTCAACTCGATCAGACTGAAATACTTATTTAAATTAAGAAGCAAGGACTGCTTTCAAACTTGAATGAAATTCCGTTTAGGAAAGGAATGAGTAAGTAAAGAAAAATATATTTATGTCTTCATGTTTAATGATTTTGTATATAGTGTCTTTTTCGTTCTTTTAATGAGGGCTTCGAAATCTGTGTACATTTATTAGCTTAGACCGCAGACTAGCATGTATGGTCCTTCATAACCTTTTTAAAATCGATTAACCTGAAGAACTGAAAACAAGTATAGTTTTCGTGAATTTGATTAAGAGCCAAAAGTGATTGGGCTTCAGTATTTTTATGTAGCCAGTTAAACTACAGTACTCTTTATCGATATTCTTGAAAGAAATATGCAATATTGAGTCCAGAGCTTCCCTTGATTCTATTGTATTTTTTTGCACATTGTTAGACTTAGAATTAATATCATCCATTAAAATTTATTTATCATATAAATAATAACACATACATTTACTTAAACTCACATTCAGAGAAATATAAATCAAGTCAGAAAAACCAGAATAACCATAGTTATGGCTGATTGATTGATATACGATAGATTAGATCTGTAATGTTACTCGAACCAATCGCATATTTCTTACTCAGCAACTCAGTGGATTTCAAAGTAAATTTTAATTTCCAAACCATACAATATCAGAGCAAGTCAATCCAATTGTGCTTGCTGCATTGACACATGAAAACGGAGTAATTGTGGAAATTGAATAGCCTTTTTCAAAAACATTTCAGCCGCCTTCTCCGACGCTCATTATAAACATTGACCGGGAAAGGGTTGGCGATGACAGGCGCAGGGCCGTCGGTTACAATAGTCATATTCTTCTCAATGAATGTCATAAATGTCAAGTGCAGATGGCGCGGCGGGGCGGTCCGCCGCGGGAGAGCCGGGCCGGTCCTCCTGTTAGGGTAACCTCACGTCCTACAGTTAAACGGAATCGTCCCGGATTGCGAGTGTGTCGTTAGTCTCGAAATACTTTTAAAATTAAATGAAACAAGCTCTACGGTCTTTCAAGCGAATTTTGTTAAAATAGATGTCTATCTTGTGACATTTCGGTTCTTAAGTATCTTCAAAATTAGAATTGTATTATGCGCATCGGCATCAATGGAGCCGGTTAAGGTGGAACCACAGACGATATTTCATTTGATATAATTAATATCTTTTTACTTAGTTTTATATAATGTAACCGTAGGGAGTACTTATAGCTCAGTTACCTGGTACTTCCTTTCTATTTGGTGTACTCGGAAAGAGGCGGAACTTCAAATCCCGATCCCGGCACTAATAAAAATGGTTATCATGTGCTAAACAATGATGGAAAACATTGTGAGGAAATAATTAAAAAAAATAAAGAAATAATTCGATGATATGTGAAGTCTGCCAAACTGCAGTGCGGTCGCTCGGTGGACTATGCTACAATCTATGGGATTTTAAAGGCTTACTTTTTATTTTGTTAATGTACATAGGTTAAGCATTTAAGGAAAAATTGTGGGGAAACCTACATGTCTAAGCAACTTAGAATATGTGTGAAGTCCGGCGTCCAATTTCAATGTGTTTTCCTTCAAGAGAATAATGGACAGGCTTTTATTAATCTAGCGTCTAACACAAAAGAAAACATCACTATCGACACCATTTACCAGTATCAAAAAAAATCGTTTTCATCCTCTTATAGTATTTTAATTGGGTTTCTGCCCCGGAATTTATGCGTGGACATCTGGCGACCGTAAGTTACAATCATAGCTGTATGTTATGCGCAAATTCCTATTGACACTCGTTTCCCCGTTCATCTAATTAGATTATCTATGTGATTTAAAATAAGATTTTTACGATTTTTATTATTGCTATATTTCTCCCTGCACCTACAAGACTTAGCATTCATAGCCACGGTAGCACCGAAATTGAATTCGGGTTTACTAAGAAAGAAAGATAGAAAGAGATTTATTTGACTAAAACAGACTTTAATTAAATTATCAATTTAACTTCATTACATAGCAAAAAGATCCGTAAGGTTTTAATTTTTTTTTAAAGTACTCAGCGTCATCATGAGACATCACTATCCGCTTGTGTTTTGTTTTTGTTGTATGCAAGTGTTGTAGGGTGCAATTGCAACTACTGCTGTTTCACGAATGGATGGGGTAGTACCAGCTGGTACCAGTAAAGGAGAGAAGTACCATGATCTTCTGAGAGTTTTGAGCGACGGAAAGTGTTATTATTGATATATGATATGTTTAGTCTGGTGAGGAAGAGGGAGACAGTGAGACCACTTTCTAAAAGGTTTTGTGGATCTGCCCCGTCACTCACCATTGAGCGGTTAATTACATTTCAGGTGAGCTCTTTTGCCAGTTATATTTCTGCTTTATATCTCATATTATAAAAAATACACTTCTCGATCGATCATGAAAAGCTGACAATGTCAAATTTGAAAGCTCTTCTTGATTGTCATATAAATATATTAAAAGTAATCATGCAACCGTTGTCGAATGTTACAATGGTAAGACTAACAGTATGAGATGAAAAATTGAACACAACTATTATTGTGTACCTGCGAGAAGCCGCCGATCAGCTAATTTAAAACATACCAAACCGGTTCAAGTCCAGCCGCCAGTACGGTTTGAGGATTCGCCCGAAGTAATTAATGCGGACGTCTTGTCGCGGGCGAACTCATTCGAACGCAAAAAAAACCAAATAAAGCCTCCCCAGTGCCGGCGAACGGAGCACTTCCCACTTTCCGGCTCATTCGCGGCGGGGTCATTGTATGCAAAACGTCGCGAGCAGACGGCTTTATTGTTCGCCAAGATTAAGGCGGGCGGGATCCATTATTCAGTTCGCCCGGGATCCCATTCCGCGGGCGATTTGCCCCGGATCCGCGCCCGTCTACCTGTATGTACCCGGGACGCCTAATCAGCCGCGTAATCGAAAAACAAGACAATGGTCGACCGACGTGCGGGATTGGCGCACGTGCCCCGGGCAGCACCCCTTTGGGACTACTGTCGCGACAGGCGTCACGAGCTGACGAGCTGACGTTCTTCGCGTCCCCGGATGCGTTCGCGCTTTGATTGCCCGCCGCCCACTTTCTTTAGATTAAAGTTGGCCTTTGTTCGATATCCTCTTTTGTGTGCTCGAACAGAGCAGAGAGTTGTTTAAAATTGGCATCGTTTTATAGTGTTGTGTTCCCGTTAGTGGCTTACATTATCTAAATGTGTATCACGATGGGTAAAATTATTTTCTATATTTTATCGGGGTTGTTTTAAAACTGGACTTTTACACATCATTAGACTCACACATTCTTAGGATCGTTAACATCTTACGTCTACGATTTTGCTTATTTACGTCTACATTTCTACTGAAAAGTGGTTGAATTGTTCAGAATTTACAATTCAAAGATCAGAATGATCAATTTGTTTAGCCATTCTTTTGGCAACTCAAATGACATTTGACTAGCCATTTGACAGCTGATTAGTTAATGATCAGTGCTTGAGAAACCTGGCGTTAGTCATTCCGTTATCGGTAGAATATAGTTATAACATAAAAGCTCTCGCTGTTCGGATATGCTGACACCGAGGCCACACAAAATACCGGCGTCAAGTAAAAGTACTACTTTTCGGATTTCCACTAGTGAATGAGGTACTCCGAAGAACCCATCATAACCATGAGTAAACTGGCCCACAGTATTACACAGCGTCCCACATGTAACCGTTGCTTGAGTTTTATATTTTCAATCGATTTCAAAAAAGGACGTGGTTCTAAATTTTCTCTCAATTTTGATTGTATTTTTTTTATGTTTATTACCTAAGAACGCCGTCATTTGTGAACCTATTTTTCTTTTCTTTATCAATTGGGTTCGGTTTAGATCCCGTGTACAACTTGAACGTCGGAAATACAATAACTGCTTCAAATCAAAAAGAGTACGTATAGCGAGTGAGATATTTGAGGTCAATTTCGTTTTATGTTAATAAAAATGTACTTGTACATGTCATCGTCCCGTAACAGACACCATAATGTTGACCATAAACAAAATGAGGTCCCATTCGAATTCCAAAAGGTAAAACGGGACCCTGGTGTATGTATGTCTGTCCATCACTAGACTAACTTATTAACCGTGATCGTTAGACAGTTCAGATTGTCACAGATAATAATCATTTCATTAATAGATATAAAAAAATACATCATTTCTGTCGCCGCTATACCAATAAATACTAAAAACAGAATAAATAAAAATTTAAAAGGGGCTCTCATACAACAGACATTACTTTTTGCCGCTTTTTATAGATAATGGTGCGGAACCCTTCGTGCGCGACTCCGACTCGCACTTGGCCGATTTTTGCGTGCATCCATACGGGTTAACTGCGACAGTGGGTTTTGTCATAAAAACCGCGATCCGTCATCCCATCTGTCGCTATCCATCGGCAATATGTTGCGGTGAAAACCGATTTAGTCCCCCCCGAAAGCTGCACAAAAACGTCGCATCGACATGTTCGACGTGCGGTGCAACAACCGCGCCGCCCGTGTGTAGGTACCCGCAATGAATGAACTGATGTTAAAACAATTATTGCACTTGTGTCGTTTCTGACGTTTTTATTTTGCCTATATCCTCGTTCCAGTGACACTCGATCGATCGCGCGATTGCGATGGATAGTTTTGGTGGTTTTAGTTTTAGTTGTGGCGGCAGACAGCGAAAAATTTAGCGTAATGTAATTCTATTGACTTCTTGTTCTATCCACTTCTTGCTAACTTCGTAAGGTTCCACGCTTGTGAAATGCAAAAATATGCTGACTCCACCATGCTCTACTACTATGTAGGGCTTGAAAATAACAAATAAATACTTAGAATTGCTAAATAATTAGAAAATAAACAATGTTTTAAATCATTGTTTTAGATCGATGTAGACCATAACCATTTCCTTAAATTATTATTCGATTGGTATAATTTCACTTATGTAATATGCCTGAAAGAAATTTTGACTTATGAGCCAAAAGTCAAAATTTGTTTATACAATTTGACCTGGTCTTAATCTCTTCATACCGTCATAAACTTGCACTGTCCCAGTTAAATAAAATACTGTTTGTTTTTTAATTAATTGAATATACTCAGAGTTCTAACTTATTTTGGTTTTTCAAAACTCTGTTTTTTTTACCATCCGAAACTGGCCAGCACTTCATTGCCATCCCACCTGATGTTTGAAATTATTGGAATTTTTACAAAACAATATCATAATAAAATCAACAGTACCAGGATACTTGCAAGAGCAGAGCAAGCTCAAATGCGTTTTTGAAAGTTATCAGAGGTAACATCTAAAAGACTTTAAAATTTATGATATCTTTATTAATTACGGGCGGCTCATTATAAATATTTCGTAATATGTTGCACTCGATTTTATGCCAGTACCATTGCCTTTAAGGAATTTATGAATAATGTTACCTAGAGCATTAAAATACCGGCTTGTCTGTATAAATGTTGCTTAAGTTATATTGTAACTAATTCTAATATGGAGGCAACGGATATGAAAAATTTTATAACCTGTGGCTCGTTACGAAGAACGTTAGTTTCGTGGCGTTAAGGTATTTCTGAGCGATGTTACTCCGACATTTTAATATCAAACTAACTCGATAAATTTAACTTCTAAGTTAATTTGTAGTTAAGATAAGGGCGACATCAAACGTTTTTCCCCACGAATTTAATTAGGTACCTGATTACGGCTGCGTAAAGATGCCTAAATGTACATAATAGTTTCGAAATTATTCTGAATTTCGAATGAAATTTAATGTGCCTATGTGTTGTGGTACAGTCATCATAACAGACCATTACCGAAACGTCTCGTTAACGTGAATGGAAACTGTGGTTAACTAAGCCAATAATTTGCGGTCCAATTGCGATTTCGCGATGCTCCCTGTTCCGCTCGCAACGTTCGCCGTTTTTCGACGCGGGAAAGGGACGCAAGGTAGATTTTTTATTAATATTGCAGGTTTCGTTTTTTTATTGTTTGCCGTCCTCCGACGCCTCACGACAACCCCGACGTGGCACCGATGATTGGATCTATGAATAAAAGATACAATTCAATTTGTTTTAACCTTAAAGCGCGTGCGGACAATTATGCGGGGCATTCAATTATTTCCTAGCGGTACGCTACGACGGAGGCGATTTGGCCGTTTTAAATAATAAGTCCGTATTAGACATTCAAATATTGGCAGCGTTTTAACAAGACCACCGCCCCGCGAATTTCCATAAACCACGCCGTTTCAACCTCTGCCGAGGATTAAATCAGTATTTAAGGTCCTTTTTTGTTGGGATTTTTTATAGATGTATGTTTGGAGGGATTTGTAAACATTTTTACGTAATACATACTGTTCATGCAGAAAAATCAAATTATCAAAAAGAAATATAATTGAAAGGTTCAAACAAAAATAATTTAATTATCGCTATACTGCGTTGTAGGTATGTATTACAAGTGCACTGACGCAGCCGTCCGAGTTGTCTCGAAGTGCGGGCGGACTGAAAACCGGCGTCGGGATCAGAACGAATCTTAGTTACTGTTACTCGACTTTAACCGAGTCCCGTCCGTTTCACGGTCTTATGCTGCTACACAGACCTTCACTTATTATTATTATTTTTTTTTAGTTTTTTTGTTATGTTTACATTTATTTTAAGTTATTCTAATATTATTTTACATAATGTGTAGTTACATTATTATTTTTAAGTGTTCTTTGTATCTATTGTGCTTAGACCGTGAATAAACGTTTCTTCTTCTTCTTCTTCAAATAATGTTAAAAGCTACTTATCAAGGCGCTACTAATCACTGAATGTAAAATAAAGAGTTTTGTTTATTGTATTTATTTATTTAGTTAAAATATAAGGCATTTATTAATACTCGGTTCGGAGATTGATTATATTCTCAAATTGTTTAAAACAAAATTAAGAAAAGAAGCCTTATTTTTGTATAAGAATTAGCCACATTCATTACGTTATTGTTAACCCTTTAATGTATATTTTCCTGTAACTTCTGTGTCCGTCTGAAATTTAGATTGAAGTATTTATTAGTTAAGTTGGGCTTTTATCATAAGGGAGGCTTAGCCAGAGTTGCCACGGCTGGCGAAAGGTTTGGCAATTGCATTTTTTTAACGTCTTTTTAAACCTTTAATGCTTCTGTTGGTGAAAATTTGCGGCAAGTCGATGTATACGGGTGTATGAAGATCGTTCTTCGTGACACTCTGTAGGGGAAGCCTATATCCAGCAATGGACTTAAACTGATTGAAATAACTGCTTAATAACATTATCTTGATAGCCAAAATATTGAATTAATTCGCGTATTGAATACGTGTAGGCTGACAAAGTCCCGTCGTGTTAGTATGTCTTGATAGTTCCATAAAGATATATATATATATAAGGTACCATTGCGGCCCGTAGCAAATAAAATTGTTAACGTTTGCACAGTTCCCACTAAACCCGTAACTCACCGCACGCGCTGAGTGTAAAAAAAGGAGTAATACGATGTTATTCTCGCTCAGTTAGCGACGGGATTGGCTGGCAACTCGATTACCGTTGTCAATCTTAAGCGCCCGCGGGAATTTAATACGTCCCGGCGCTTCCCTGCCGCTGACAAGTCGCCCCGGGGCGGCGGGGGACGGGGGGCGAGGAATGCATTATGCATATCCGAAAACGGTTCATTATAGGTTAAATCTTTTCTTTACCTTAGCGGTAGTGGGATTCGTGACGTTCATCCTAAATAGTACGGTTGAAGTGATTTGAAGCTTATATAACTTATGGCAAATGAGCAAGCGGTTCACTTGATAGTAAGTTGTTGTCGTAGTGCCAAAAACTTTCAAATCTTTTAGTGTTTGTCTGTATTGTATATGTATTTTATATGGTAATTGTTACATCTACCTGTTCATTTGTATATTATATGTTATAAGTTACGTTTTCTTAAGGCTTTTAATTTGTATAATAATATACGCTTCTTCTTTAATATTCCTTTTTACTCATTTAATGTTTTTTTGGTTGATTCATTGCATTTAC